GCCTCCTTCACAACCTCTGCAAAGTATCTGCTTGCTTGCTGTGAGTATTCCTAGGGTTCTAGCTTATGATTTTGTCTTTCTTAATTTTTGTTCTTTTGAGGCGAGCTAGTTAGTCTGATGCCTTCAATTTATACATTGACAACCCAGATTCTATCATTCCAGTACCAATTCCTTGTCTTTGTTTTAAGCTTGTGTTTCCAAACTTGTACTGGATTCTGAACAAGGGTATATACAGGTAACCTTAAACCAGCATTCCAACATGGAATTGTTCATTTCTTCTCATGTGCTACAAAATCAAAACTAAGCAAATCAGAAAAGACTGGACTTTCTCTCCAGATTTCTCTCTCTCCTAAGGAAAACTACATCATCATATCTGCCTTTCTCCTTTGCCAGGTCCAATGTTCAGGCATCATTATCATACTTCCTGGATGGTCCCATGGGAGTTAAAATGCTTCCATCATAATCATGCTTTTTCTAAAATGTGGCAAAGAGCAGGTACGTCCTGAACATGGGTCCTCTCAAAACAGTGGAGGCGAATTTCACTTTAGAAAATAAATAGTAATACCAGCTGTAATTAGGGTTGCATAGGCATGTTAGTCTTGATATGCTGTGCTATGTTCATAAGGCCCCAAATCCATTGGTATAACAAAGGAACAATTTATTTGTCACTCAAGCAAAGTTCAAGGTACTTGGGTTGCCTTATTTTCCCCTTGTAGTTCTGTCAGCTGGCACAGGGATTCTTGGGTGGGCCTCATCACAGAAGAGTAGGAGAAAGCTAGAGGACCGGGTGGAATATGTTTTAAGTCTAGACCAGGTAGTGGTTTATACCGCTCGTGGCTACAAACCCCTGTGAACCAAGCAGCTTTGTGACCCCACCTGATCATTATGGAGGCTGGAGGTGAGCATTTGGTTGTGCCAACAGTCTCTGTCCTGGCAAGAAATGTCTGGTTTAAAATATCAGATTAATTGGAAAGAATTTTAAATTGATCAAGTCCTGAGCATAAAATATTTTAAACATTAATGAAATTTGACCACTGTTAGCAAGATGAAACGTCAGGCCCCTGTTGCTCTGATACTGGTTTGCAAAGAATAAAGCAGAGTGTCATGAGCCTCACTTTGGCTGAGTTTGACCCAGGGTGGGGTAGATTGTTGGTCTCTTTGGCAGCTCATGTCCAACTGAGGATGTGCTCCTGTGCAACTGACCACAGCACCTGCCACTGAGTGCAGTCAGGGTCTAAGACCACACACTGCGGGTGGCATCCGAGATGAGGGAGAAACCTGGGGCCTCGGGAAACCCTGCCAATGGGAGCGAGGCAGCAGGACAGGTGACACATGCACAGTTGATGCCTCTGTCACCCACTTTGTGCAGGAAGGCTGATTCACCTGCTACTCCTCCTCTTGCAATATGCTGACTGGAAGAAGCGTGTTCATTGGTGAAAGATTATCCTTGAAAGCATGAAAGGATTTATGATATGCAGTTTGGTGTTTAAAATCTTTCTCTAACCTAACTGATGGTACAAATGTCGGCATAATCCATTTGCAATCTCAATATCCACGCCCCTACCGAGGCTCAGACAGACCACCACCATCCTAATTACTAAAGTGAATACTTAAAATGATTCCTCACTCCCCTTGAACCAATAGACCTGTCCTAGAGAGTGAAGTTACTTCCAGTCTCACCTCAATTCATTCTCCCTTACAGAGCCCAAAGTATTCTTCTTCTATATCCAGAAATCTAAACATCACTGCCATGTTTGGAATGCTTCCGCCTGTCCATGAAGCTTCACTTGGATTTGAAAACTGTCATGGTCAGCCCCTTTCTGGCTCTCCCCTTTCACCCTTCGCACCCCTTTACTCCCCATGCTCTGTATAGACTGAGTTTCTTTCACTTCCTTGAAATTGCCAACAAGTCTTCAAACTTCTGATTCTTCATGCGCTCTCCCTTCTTCCTGAAACACTCTTCTATATAAACCACCAAACTCCTGGTAAGCATTCACATCTCCACTGAAGACTTTCCTGAGCCACAACCACCCTGTGTCTGCCCACTGGCAGCCCCTCAGCAATGTCCACCTCTCCTTTGGAAACAGTTGTTGCCCCATGATTTTATCACCTCCTAGAATAAAGGTTTATATCTTCACTACTCTATACCTAGAGAATAGACAATAAGATACTAAATCAGTAATTATTGAAGAACCTAGCCTTTCCTAATTTTCCATCTTGCCAACTTTTATTTGTCTTTCTGATCTAAGCTCAGGTGTTACTGCTTCATGAAGTCCCCCATGACCCTGAGTTGGGTTCAGAACACCTGGATTCCCTCCATCCAAACACCTATCTCACTGTGATGGAGAAGGTGCCGACTCCACATGGCAGCCTCAGTTTCTACACAGAACCCAGCACACACTGACACCAAAAAGTAACTGTGGGGGGCAGGAATCCTGTGTCTCCTTCAGTGTTTAAACTGAAGCAGACAAATTGCAGTTCAGGTGAACTTCTGAAACTATCTTAATAATTACAATTAATAAATAATAATAAACAGAAGGTAACACTAATTGATTGACATGCTGAGGCCTAGCTGCCATCCACCCGTGCATTGTGGAGCATGAAGAGCCTTGCAGGCAGTCGGGGCCGTTCTTTGAGTTCTGAGACCACTCCCACTTGACTCCCCGCCTCAGACAGACTCTTCAGCACCTTCTTACTCTGGAGTAGTTAGTTCATTTTGCTTGATCCAGGCACTACTGAGGGGCCTTCTTAATGACTTCAAGTCACTGCCACTTTATGTCCTGATATCCAGAAACCAAGGCAGGCCCATGAGTGTCATTACAGGAAATATCCATGGAGAATAAGCAAGATCAACCCCAGTACTTTGCATCAGAATCCTGAATGAATACAGTTCTCAGCCTGTGGTCATGATGCACTCTTAGTCCATAAACATTCACTGGATACACTCTGAGTGCCAAAGAAAAGGCAAATTGCTCTACGTCAAAGGACAGCTCATTCTCATAATTCCTTTGAGAGGCAGATGTCATTATCCATGTTTTCAAGATAAAGACATTGAGACTGAGAAAGTTTAAGTAAATGTCATAGGGCACCCAACCCCATGTTTGTATGACAGGGCATTCCGAAGCTATGTATGCCCTGTTCAACAAAATCCTCTCGAATACAGGGCTTGCCATGTGTTTAACCATTGCCAAGTCACCACACAGGGGTGTCTCCCTGCTGGACTGGCACTGTTCCTAGTTCTTTACTCATTCATCATGACCTACTGAGTCCCACAAAGACTCATCCTGAGAAGAAAGCCTTGTTCTGAAGTTCCCAAGAAGAGCCTGACGTAGGATCCTCAGCCTTGGAGCCCTGAGAAGCTGCTGTCTCCTGCCTGGAGCTGCTAGGCTGCTAAAGGGACAGTTTCTTTCTCAGTCAGCAGGCTTTCAGGGTTTCAGTGTTTCCCATCTTTGGCCCTCCTGTCTTCATGACCTGTTAAATTAGGTCTTACATCCAGCCACCCTGCACTCCATGGCAGGGAATGTGCATAAGACTGTTGTTGTGCCCACACCACACTTACCTCTCCCTGACTGACTTTCATTCTTTCTTCCTCTAGTCACTGTAAGCATAGATTTTTCTCAGCTCACTCAGGTGGCCCCTTTTAGGGTCTTGCTTGGAATCTTGCCACATAAATACCATCCCAATATAGTGGGTGCCACATCCAGATTCCATATTCCTCCAAGAACAAATAGAAACCAAAAGTTCTGTTTCAACCACACAGTGAGCCTGGTTCCCCACTCTGTACTTTGAGTTCAGCCCTGGTGCTCTTCATTTGGCATCCCTATGGCGCCAAGATCTGGCATTCACATATCTTCCCGTGTCCCCACAGTGTTCTGCTACATCAGCCTCTGGAAGGCCAGCAAGTGCTGGCTGCCTCTCACAGTGACTGAGGCTCGCCCTCCAGGATTTCTGAGTAAGCCCAACATGTTCACCCTTCAGTGGACTCACCTGTGAGCACTGCTGTCCTAACCTTCGTTCTCCGAGGAGGTGGGCAGTTATCTCAGCTCTTCTTCCAGGCAAGGCTAGAATGGCCTGGCTTAGGTGAAGCTGTGCTGGGGCCCAAGGCACCTCTAGGAGCAAGGCACGTGGACATCACACACACTCTTCCGCGTCTGTGCTTTGGGTTACTCCAAACATGCTATGACTTTGTTACCACCAGCATGTAGACTGATATGGGGAAGTGTGTCCTATAAACTTGCCTTGGGAATTCTGGGCCCCTTTGCTGGCTGAGTGGTGTTATGGAGGGTCGCTATGATAAGCCAGGGACACAATCGTTAGTATGAGCCTTGCAGCATTTGGACACACACACAGGCATACATATGTGCATGTGCCACGTAATTTCACAGCATTGACATATTCCAGAAATTATCTCATAATGCAGCCTGATTTGCATTGAAGATCTTTAATTATTTTATAATAGCCATCCAAGAAAACTATAAAGTGGCTCTGCAGCATTTATACTGTTTATTTGAATATTTAATAGGGGTTTCTGGAAATCTATTTCATCCTGCATTACTCACACTGCTAGGTGACTTGCTGCTTTATTTGTAGGGCAATGCACTTAGTAATCTTACTACACATAAAATGATTCTTCATAGAGGATATAGTTAAGCCTCAGCCAGGATGTCCTGAGGTGTGGGACTTGATATAAAGAGCATGGGGTGGGAATTTATATTGATAAAATCATTTGATTCCTGAGACAAGCCACCAATCCTTCTAACTCATGGGTCTAAAAAGATTGCCTCTTCATGGTGCCCTAAAACACAGCACAAACTCACCACAGATAGGGGTCAAAGAGGCCCACTTTTATGAGGTGATCTTCCTGGAGTGTGTTAAGAGCCAGATCAGCCTGGAGCCTGGGAAGAGGCAATAATCAGACAAAATTTGGGGTGTTGGGCTGAAAAAGAAGGGAATTGTGCTTTCTCTGTTGCTTGCTTTCTTTGTGATTTTATAATAGGAAAGATAAAATCCACAGGTCAATTGTAGGATGGAGCCATAAGGAGAAATCAGGGAACACACTTATGGGCCTGCTTATGTGCCTACAAAAGTGTCTCTGGGGTGAAGCCTTAAAACAGTGCAAAGGCTGAGAACAGGTAACGGTGGGTCCTCACCCCTGCACTCGTGATTGCAAGACCCCACTCAGGCTCATGGTGCAGCAACAAAGGGGTTTATTAACAAAGTGGAGACTGGAAAAAAATAGAGTTTCTTTCCTTTTTTTTAAGATTTATATATTCATTTATTTATACAAGCACTGGGTACAGTCAAAAGCGCAGGAGGGTGAGAGAATTCACCAGAGAGAGAGTGGGGAAGAGAACAGGCAGACTGACGAAACACACTGCTGAGGGGAGCAGCAGGAGAGACAGGAGAGGTCTGTCGCACCATATGGGACCCTCACAGGCGCCCGGGGATCGAACCACCACTGCAGAGGCTGCGAGCAGCCTCGTAGCCCAGCACTCAACCACTGTGACACCAGGGGAGGCCCGAAAAAAAGTTTCTAAGGCCACAAGTGGCCAGCTGTCCTAGCCCACAGTGTCCACAGTTTCCAGCAGTCCAAACCAAAGGCTGCTTGTACAAGATGGCATCCCTTTGTTGAGGGCCTGAAGCCAGTTGCACACCTGTAAGTGGTACACCAGGATCCAACTCGCTTTGACAACTGGAGGTAACCGCAGGGCGTGCTGCTGAGATGGTGCCACAGCAGCAAGCAGCACCTCTCTGGAGGCCGGGCTGGCCAATAACAGATGCCACAATGGACAGTGTCAGAGAGGATAGAGGAAGGTGGTGCTAGAGAATCCTAACAGCGGACCTCTCTCAGAGATACAGGTCAGTGTTGCTGGTCAGCACTGGTCAGCAGGCAATGGTGCCAGAGAACAGGCCCAGTATGACAGCCATTTGAGTGATGTTGGTGTAATCCAATAGCAGACAACCCTTTTGGAGACACTGGGCACAGGCCAGTGTTGCCATTGTACAGGTAATGTTAGGGCAGGGATGGGGGCAGGAGCAGTAGTAAGGATGCAGTTTGAAGTGGAGAGCAGATGAAAATGTCTGAGGAGGTCTGAGTGTTGACGAAGCTTCCCAGTGAAGGTCTGGAACAGTTTTTTCCAGAAGTTCCCACTACCCATTCATCAGGTATCTGCAGGGACAGCAACAGCCAGGGTCAGAAGCTGTTGCAATCTGGGGAATTCTGGCCATTTTGCCTCACTGACATCCAGTGCTCTTGCCAAGTAAAGCAGTCTTATTTGTAAAGAGAGCTCTGAAAACACCAGAGTTTGTGGAAGGTAAGGCATACCAGTTTTGGTCATCATAGACCTATGACTCACATTTTGGCCTTTTATAGCACAGACTTGTAGACAAATAAAGCCCGGAGGACAAGGCAGCAGTGAGAAGAGGTAGCACTGTGGTGCCTGGGAGCTTGCAGGAGACTGCAGTGACTCCTGCAAGTGGACAGAGGTCAGGAAGGACAGTGATCCAAAAGGTGGAATGACTGGGAGTTAGGAGAGTTCATGGGGCACTCTGCTGTGGCCCAACGTTGATGGGAGTGTCCTGGATGAACATAAGTTCCCCCGATAATAACCTTGACTTCCGGCAAGAAAACAGCTTGCTCTTTGGACGAATAAGCAACCCAACACCTGCTGGGGACAAAGCAGGCCTCTGCAGATTGCATCTTCGAGGTTCCTAGTCTAGAGGCTTCTCCTGCCCACAGTGATTACTTACAGGACCCTCTCCAACTATTACCGTCTTTCTCTAAACAGGCGTAGTTTGCCAAGGCCGTGCCAGGCCAATTTTAGACCTAGGGACCTGTAGGGACCAAGTGAGACTAGGCTGCCCTCGAGGACCCACCCGCCCTGGTGGGCATACGCTGAAGTGGTGAGCAGATGATACGCGTCCATGAAGTTTTAGATCTCTGGCACTCTTTGCGACAATGCCATCGGGTATTGTATATGCAATTGTCTGATGGTTCGTTTTGGCCTAGAAGATTAAGCAACTGCCAACCAAACCCCACTGTTGGGCATGCTGCTGAGAGAATACAGAGGATGCAGGACTGGCCTTGTCTGGCTTCGTATTGGACCTTACTTCAGTAATTTTAAGAAAAGAAAAGTGATTCTAAGTGTGCCCTAGCAGTGATTGGGAGATGGACAGCTGTTCTGCAAACTTATTAAATAAATAACTTATTAAATAAATCCAATTCACTGGCATGCATTTTTAATCCTAATATAGAGTATGATCCTTTGGAACTCAACCATGTCCTAACTGATCTTTAAAACCCAAATAAATATGCTGGCAAAGTTGATGCCGGCATATACAGTAACAAGCGTCTGTTTCATGGTGAGTGTATAGGTAATGTAATGCATATACAGCTGGGCTGTGCATCTTCAGTTCTGGAATATAACTGATGCTCCCCTTTAGCATCTCAAAGTGAAGCAAATGAGCCTCCCGTAACTGTCCTTTTCACCCCGCTGGCCCCTAGACCCTCCCACTGGTTAAGTCCAGGACTTTCCCTGCTCTTAGGTGTTTCCAAAGACTCCAGGGCCAGGCACCATCCTGTCCGCCTGGGTCAGAGAATCTCAATGCCCAACAGCAGGTGCTGTGAAGACCTGGAAAAATTACTCACCACTCACTGTCCTGCCAAGACACAGACAGAGCTCAGAGTCCCTCTGGGGTTCTCAGAGGCCACTGCTGCTGCTACTCCTGTCATGATGGTCCCCAATCTGGAGGCCCTCTTGCTGGCATCCTCCAACCACCAGGATGCCCTCTTCCTGGCATCCTCCTACACCAGGTGCAGGCTGCCTGGTGGCTCCGGCTTAGGCTGTCTGAGGAGGTCTTTGGCACGACATACAGCCAGACGAGTGGCCTGGCCTCCCCGGGGTCTGTAGCAGCCTGCCTTGTTCAGCAGGCCCAGGCCCAGACTCAGACCCCAGGCCCAGACTCATACCCAGATGTACTGTTGACCCTTTGCCCTTGGGATAGTTCTGTGGCTACCATATTTCCTATCTTTCTAACCTCACCAGGATTCTTTTTTTGTTTTTCTTTTTAATTTCAGGGACCTTGATCCCGTCTGTGCATGGACTTGCACAAGGTAACAATCTCAGGCTATCGGGGCCTCCCCAGAACAGAGGTAACTCAGAATCTCAGGGAAGAAGTGTAGGGTGCCTGTTGCACTTCTCTTTCCTAGAGACCCTGGGCTCTACACGCTATGACCACTGTTGCCAGGCAAACTGCCAGCTTGGCAAGGACATCACTTCATGACAGAGACTAAATCGGGTCCGTGACTTAGTAGGTTACCCCACTTTATTTAAAATTAGGATCGGTCTATTTTATTTTACATTTCATTTTGTTTTGTTTTACTCATTTATTTTTTGGCTATTTATTTTCTCAACAATGTTTTTCATGGCTTTTCAAAAGACAACTGGAATAAAACGAGGTATCTTTTTCAATTCTACAGCCCAGGAAAGTGAACAGAGAGAGGTTCAATTTCACCCTTGCTCCTGCGGGGGGCAGACACTGTGCTGACCTGGAACAGAGACCCTACCCCCTGGGGCCTGTCTAGGGTGGAGTAAGGCCCTCCAGCCACTGCCGGTACTTATCTGGACACATCTTGCCATTTAGTGTATGCAGATGTGCCCAGCTTTACTCACTGGGGCCTGGAGGTGACAGTAGGAGCCATGGCATTTACTGAATGACCCTGGCCATCCCATCAGCTCCCACTAGATGCACTGATCACACTGCAGGTAGAAGTGCTCATGAGCTGAAGCCTACTGGACAAATGTTAACTGCAGGTTACAGTTGTTATTACTGGTCATACCTGGGAGAGGTCAGCACAGTCTCATCAAGTGTTGGCCCTTGAGATAGCAGACAGATTTAAGACATAGAAACACGCTTGATTTTGGGGAGGTGTAGAGCCCAGGCTTCCCAGTACCATTCCCTGTTTCCTGGGTACATTATGCAAATGTTCCATCTTAATTTCTAATGGAAAAGTCAGGTTATTAACCATCCTCACCTCACCACCACAGTCGTTAACATTTTCCATGTGCTCATTTTGATCTGCACATTCTGTTACTCATTGACTCTCATCTGGGATGGGACTATTGTTATCTTACCTCTGTTGGTCAGGTGAAGTAACTGAGAGGTGCAACACTTTGCTCAAGGTTAAAAGGGAGAATGCAGGCCTCCCTGGTGGTGCAGGGGTTAGAGACAGTGCTGTCAAGCTATCGCCAGCTACTACAGCACGAGTTCGATCCCCAGCCCACCAGGGAGAAACCCACATGGTGCAGCAGACCTCTCCTGTCTCGCTTGCTTCTCCTCAGCATCGTATTTCAATAGATCTGCCTGTTATGCTCTCTACTCTCTCTGGCGAATCCTTTCACCCCCCCACCTCTGGTCTGTACCCCAGTTCTTGAATGCGTAAATAAATAAATCTTAAAAAAAATAAAAGGGAGAATGCACACAGAAGGTGGGCCTGGGGTGTGTATGGCGCCCAGGAAGAGCCAAACTCATTTGCCACTTCTGCTGGAGTCATGGTCAGAAGAGGAGCTGTCACCTATGGGAGGTGGGAGGAATGCAGGCAGGAAGCTCACAATCACATAGTGACCCAACAAGAGTCACTGTCCCCAGCCTCCTGCCTTATGACTTGTACTGTTTTCTTTCTTAGGTGTGACACATATATACACACACCACACATATACCACACCACACAGGCCACACATATATACATACCATGTGCATGCACACACACCACATAAAACCCCAATACCTTCATGCTGCATATCACACAGAGTACACTCATACCACACATACAGGCCCACGTGCATGCGCACACACACACACACACACACACACACCCTTGAAGCATCACCTGACCAAGTTGGGCTCATGTGCTTCTCCTCTACACATCTTGAAGTCCTGTTTTCTTCCCTCCTACAGACCTTACCAATAGATTGGAAGACCCTAAGAATTGTTACCATTCTCTGTGCATCTCGTAGACCCATAAATAACACAAGTCTTCCCAGAGGAGATAGCTGCAGTGACTTTTAACTTAATTAGAACATGCTTGGGTGAACAATGAAGAGGATATGGGCTGAATTCCATGTATTTATTCATGGTTAACCAGCACACTGAGCTGTTGATCAGCCTCTGTTGTTGTTTGCAAAATGGTAGTAGTTTTTGTAGAAGATATGACCAGAAAAACAACAATAGAACATATTTGCAGATTACTTAGCAAATACGACGTTAGGAGAATTGCTTTCAGCAATATGACGGGAGGTATGAAATACATTGCTATGGAAACTGAAGGAAAGTAAAAATAATTTAGGCCAGTCATATAAAGATAGACTCTTCTTTTGGAGGAAAGAAAAAAGTCATCCCAATAAAATAACTTTCCCACTTAAGGAAATGTTTTCTTCTTTTCCTTTTCTTCCCTGCTGTGCTGAGTCAGGCACTGGAACACAAGCAGGACAAGTGTCGTGAACCACCATGGGACACAGACACAGATAAGACAGGATGCCTCAGCTCCTCGTTTGGCCACGCAGTAGAAAACTACTGATGTGTTTTCCATCTCTATAATTTTGTTATTTCAAGAATATTATATCCATTAAATAATATAGTTTGTAAAATGCAGAGATTAGATTTTTCAACTTAGCACAATTCCCTTGAAATTCAAGTAATTTGTGGCAATAGCTTCTTGTTTTTATGAATGGGCTGAATTCTATGATATGGATGTATCACAGTTCTTTAATCATTTATCTTTGAAGATCAGTTGGGTACTTTCTAGTTTGGGCTTTTATGAACAAAGATGTCAAGTTTCGTTTTGTTTAATTTCCTTTGAGACTTTCTCTTTGACCCCAGGATTACTTAGGAGTATATTGCTTAAATTCCATGTTAGAAGATATCATGCTATCTTTCTTTGATAGATTTCTAGTAGTTTCTTTAGAAGATATGACTGTTCTGATTGGAAAATATATTGTACATAGTTTCAGTACTTTCAATTTTGTTAAGGTTTGTTTTATGACTTGGAATTTGTTACATTATTGATAAAACTTCTATGCACATTTTGTTTAAATGTTATACATATTTCTATGTGAAAATAAACTTTCTTTGGGGAAAATGTCATGATCGTGGGCACTTAAATGGATTGTAGATTCTCCTTTTTTACTTGTAATTTTCTCTAAACATCTATTAGATCCTATTGTGAAATGTTATTGTCATGTCTGATTTTGTTCTAATAGTTCTGGTAATTGCTGAAGAAAGATAATTAAAATCCTCAACTATACTTGTGCATTAATCTATTTAGTATTCCTTTTAGCTCTGGCAGTTTTTGCTTCATACATTTTGAAACTTTGTTGTTTGGTGCACGCACATCTATATTTCTTCTAAGTCCTGCTGCTACTCTTCTCTTATCTTATGCCTCTGGCCAGACAAAGCATGTGTTTTTAATCTGTTTGTTGGGGTGGTTGGTTCTAGATTGTGGACCTTTCTGGAGCATGTTCTTGGATATATGAGAAATAAAAAGAAAACCCAGGGAAGCCACCACAACACGTCTCTTCAAATGGTAAGTGCCTTGTTCTTCCCCACCCTCTCAGAGTCCTTTTGAGATTATCTGTTAGATTATTTCTAGGAGTTATCACTAAGTTTGCAGGGAAAAGTTTTATTTTTGTCTCTGAACCAGCAAAATCTTATATTTAAATATTTTATTTTATTTTAACCAATGATAGAAATTAAGTAATAAAAATAGTACTTTAAAAATAATGAAATGAGAAATGAAATTATTTTTACTTCTTTCTCCAAGGCCCATAGGGAAGGTGGGGGTTGCTTTCCTCTTACACAACCAAGCCAGAACACCATGATAAAGGGAGAGTCACAGGCCCATGAGGCAGATAAATGAATGTCCTGACTCCTTGGCTGGAAATTAGCTGAGACATAAGACCTATTGTATCCATTTGTTTTTATGGGTAGGAATGTTTTGTTGATTTCGTAGGATAAGATCTTCAAGAGTTAGGTATTACAAAGAACATGTAATGCATTATCTCCTGGATTTCTGTTCTGGCAGGTGGCCCTACTCTCCCTGTTTCAATTGTCTAAAATGTCAATTCTGATAGGAACTCTTGTTTTTCAGTGTCATTGTCCCCACTTCATAGAGGAGTCAACAGACTTTAAAATATTACGTAAGTTGCTATGATCTTACTGGTGGGATGTGACAAAGTGATACATTAGACTCAGATCTGTTCAGCTCTGAAGCATGTATGACAACTCCTGTTTAAGACACTGGATAATTACGATAAGCAGACCCCTCTGTTGTTCATGTTCTTATGAAGCTTGTAGTGGGTGAGAGAGACTTCAGTAGGATACTCACAAATACGCAAGACAAATAAGTGTCTGATCACCAAATGAGACAAATGCTTCAAAGTACATGAAAGTGGTTCTAGGGAAAGAGGGGATCTGGTTTTGGGTTAGAGTCCCCTGCTGATATGGAGAATGAAAAAATAATGGGGTGAGACAAGGAAGGGAAGAAGGCAGACTCCAGGTAGTGGGAAAAATCAGGTTGAAACTCAAACTCCTAGGAGGTGAAGAAGCCCAAGCCTTCTGGTTCAGGGATTGGGCCAGGAAACATGGGACGCTGAGTCACCAAAAGTAGAAAAGTGGCTTGCAGAAAGGAAATGTTAGAGTTTTTTAGGCACCACACACAAGTCCAAGACAAGAATTTTAGTTTTCACATTAAGTACTAGGTGCCTTCTTTCAATTCTGTAATTGAGACCTTGGATCCACCAACTCACTGCAGTATTTTTCAGGTAAGTAAGAGGTCCATATCAGGGGCTCAGTATATCATATAGATTAAAAACAAAAAAATCAAAAAAAAAAAAGAAGGGACCCTCAAAAAGGCCAGACACACCTGGCTTCAGCACTTGTTAACCATGAAACTGGGTACATTTAGCTACCTCTAGACCTTTCAGCCTCCTTACTTCACCACAGCAAGAATAGTGCCAGCTTTATATGTTTGTGATGAGGAGTGAATCAGCAAGCGGTGCCCACTCAGCTGAACTGTAGCACATGTGAATACATGACCATAACAGAAATAGCTGTGGTCATTACTTCCCTTCACTGTCCTCAAGAAGGTTATGTTTCCTTTAGATGCTCTGCCCAGAGGGATTTGACTCACCTCTGGCTTTTGGAGACCTAGTGTGTGCCTCTTCTAAACAGCTGGGATTGCAAAAGTTAAAATTTGGAATTGAAAGCACTCTCTTTTGCCTTAATAATCAGAGCATGAGTTTCTGAGCAATTTCATCTGCCTCTGTCCTCATTAAATGAAAACAAACTTCCCTCTATAGGGGGCCACTCTCTCCTATCACATAATGAACACATAACCATCATGGTTTGGAAAATGAGAAAATAAAACCAGGTATATTAAGAATTCAATCAGAGAAATGATGATAACACATCAAATGTGCCCTTGTTCAGGATGAAAACACACATAACTCTTGTCTCAAGAAGTGCTTGGGAGGAGATTATATGGGGAGAAGACATTTATATTAACAAAGGATGGAGAGCAGTAGTATGCCGCCACTCATACAGGTAGACATATGGAGATATGTGAGATTCTTATAAATATTCTGAATTTTAGAATTAAGAGAGTAAAAGGAATTTGGATGGTTCAATTTAGGAAAACCATAATAGTGAAACTAATGGACATAATTCTATTCTTTTCTGTCCAGCTGGATCCATTAATAGTATTATTGAAACTTCCATTGAATAAGTACCTGCTGTGCTCTAGGACCTGCATCTGTTCTTTGGATCTAGAAAAACACAGATTTTGTGGAACATAGAAGATCTCATTTTTTTGCCTCCCTGGTGGTGCAAGGGGTTAAGCACCACACTATGATGTAATATGCAGCCTCTGCAGCACAAGTTCAATCCCCAGCTGGCCAGGGAGCAAACCACATGGCGCAGCAGACCTCTTTTGTCTCACCCGCTGTACCCCTCAGCAGTGTATTTCAACCAGTCTGCCTGTTCAGTTCCCTGCTCTATCTCTGGTGAATCCTCTCACCCCCTACTTCTCTGGCCTGTACCCCTGTTCTTGTATGCATAAATAAATAAATCTTTTTTTTTTTAAATCTCATTTTTACCTAAAATTTCTACCAGGGCTTAGAAAAATGATATTAAAGGAGTCTTCACATTTTCTGAACAGCAATTCCTTCTATGTAAAATGTGGGCAATAGTGCCTACCAATGGAGTTGTTGTTGAGGGAAATGAGATGGCCATCTGTCATAGTGTGGCAAACCCAAGCAGCATAATTGGACTGAGATATGTGTTATGAATATGGCTTACGTTAGTCCTAAGCACAGAGTGCACAGATGTGCCAGGGCTCCACGGTCCCTTTCTTCAACATGTTCAGAGACCATCAGAGCAGGATCACTCTATTATTTCGCATCAAAAAGTAAAGCAAGTATTTCAGAGATGGAATGACAAGCTAATTTCTTTTTCCATATATTGTGATACAAACTTGCAACACTAGGAGCCAGGGGATTTCCATATATAAAGCTTCAAAGCAGACCATTTTGTTGAGAGTGGAGGGACAATAGAGGGGATTTGGGTAGGTGTGATGGCAACAGGAGCAACAATTTTGGAGACAACTCTGACATGTGTGTGAGTTCTCCTCCCACCTCAATGGGCTCCTGGCAGAGCCCAAGCTGCTGTTTCACCCATCATGACTTTTCTGGGATCCCATATAATTTCTGAGGCCCCAAAAATGAGGCACAGCAGACCTCTAACTGGAATTAAGACACTTCTTTATTGTGATTTCACAGGGATCAATAAGCTAGAGATAAAAGAACACAGCGCATCCTGCTTTGTGTCCTCAATCTTCTGCTTGAGGGCAGGGTTTCTGTCCTATCACTGACTTCCTGCTGTTCAATTTCATGGGACTTGTTTCTCACCATATCGACTTGTTGCTTCTTCCCCTGACTCTCACCTGTAGGGAAAAAAGCATGATTTAGGCTGAGGTCAAAGTGTTACAGGGCAGCTCTAGGGGAAAACAGGGTGACTTGGATGAATCCTGCGATTAAGATCATGGGACAAGAAACTCCCTGGTGGCCCAAGGGGTTAAGATGCAACTTATGAAGCTGTCCGCAGCCTCTGCAGCACAAATTCAATCCTCAGCCAGGGAGCTACCCACATGGCGCAGCAGACCTCTCCTGCCTCGCCCACTGGTCCCCTCAGCAGTGTGTTTCAGTCTATCTGCCTGTTCTGTTCCCCGCTCTGTCTCTGGTGAATCCTCTCACCCTCCCCTCCCCCTGTACCTTTAGCCTGTACCCCAATTCTTGTATGCATAAATAAATAAATATTTTTTTTTAAAAAAAGATCTTGGGACAAGACCAAAAGGCATTGAGGCACAGGGCAAGCTAGGGTTATTAGGCAGTTTCAGGGACAGTGCAGGAGGGGACCTCTGAAGAATTTAGGGAGGCTTCAGAGGTAAGGACAACCAAGGGTATATAACCAATTCCATTAGGAAAAACACACCCCAGGACCACGGACAATATTAATGCTGTTAACTATGGTCCTGGTTTCTTCAGGTGATAAAGGGAGGTGGAGACTAGAGAAATGGAGAGTGGTTTAATTTATGGACAACTTAGAAGGGCAGCTGCTTAACTTCAATGTAGAGACGCTCACCCGGAGGACCAGGCCATAAAGATAAAGTGTAGAGATACTCACCGGGAGGACTAGGCCATAAAGATAGAGTGACAAGCATGAAAAATGGGGAAAGGGAAAGCTGTTAGATAAGGAATGTGAATTTTCCCCACTTAGGAAGTGTGAGACCCTCTGGGAGTTAACCAATCAGGGAGAGAAAGAGTAAAATTTAAACATAATGAGGGAGAGAAAGTATATATTGCCAACATAATATCCCGTACCAGCTCATCTTGGCCCCTCCCAGGTACTTTATACCTGGGAGTCTTTCTTCTTTGTCTCTTTTCTTCCTAAATAAACTTTTCTTTGAAAGACAAGATTTGTCTCTCTCTGCTTACTTACTATGGTTTTGCGAGACAAGAACTCGTGGTAAAGCGGCAGCAGTTGTTACACACGCCGGCATCAATATGTCATTTTCCAACTAAAACGAATACACATCGACTCTGCTGTCCGCTTCTGACTATGCAGGCCTGTTTTGCTCCTCTCCCAAATAAACATGTCCTTTTAAAATGTAAAATACAGGACTCAGATCAACATGGTGGAAAGGAAACACTGCGAGTAAGATCTCCCATTAAAAAAAGTTAATAGGGAGGAAAATCAGCAGGTCCCAGGGAGCAATGGGACACGGAAGATAAACGGGCGACTCCAGCAAACTACCTGAAGAAGAAAATTGCCATAAAATAGGACTAGAAGGGAGGAAAGCTCAGAAACCTGCTCCCCTCCCCCAACCACAAAGTCGGCACTCTCCGACCAACAAAAAGGAGGAAAAAACAAACTAAAAGGACCAACAAGAACAAACTATGCATCAAGCGGGACTGTGAGTGGAAAGGAACTATTTCAGCCACCACATGCTGCACCTCCCCCTGCCGTGACCTTCAGGGCTAAAGGCTGTTGCCATGGTCCCTGAGGTCAGGCATGGGCAAGAAACCACACGTGCAGGCAGGGGGAGAACAGCAAACTCCCTAAGGCATAGATAAGCCAGATGGATGCCTGTTAAGAGATAACGACCACCAGAAGCTGCCACAGGCTTGTTAAGAAGGAACGCTGACCACAGGGAACCTTATCTCGCTTTCTCAAGGCACACAAACTTTATTCTACTACAACTGTCTTTCTCAATTTTTTTCTTTTTCCCGGTCTAAAAAGGTCATTGGTTGCTAATTAAAAAAACATACGTAATTTAATAGGTAGGTTAACTGAAATGAAACATTACAAAACTCTGTGTAATAATAGAATGGTTAGTAATTTCTAGGTTATATGCTCAGCTTTGATAGCTTTGATGTTAATAAAAAAGCATTGCATTATAAGAAGTAAAATTCACCCATAATAATCAATAATAATTAAAAATAAGTTAGTGGTAGTGAGTAGTTATTAAAACAAAAATGTAATTACTTAGAACAAAAGAAAGAATTAATAGCCTGTCTACTCAGGAATGTAGCTAGGTCCAGATGTGACTTCAGACATAGATCACTGCCCTGTCAA